GCAATGAGATCTCTGTGGGTATCCTCTCTCTCTGATGTGGGTGTGTGTATGCCAGTTGCACACTTAGAGCCAGTTTGGGGTAGCAGTGAAGGCACCAGGCTAGAAACCGTGAGACTGTGAGTTCTAGTCCTGCCTTAGCCACAAAGCCAGCTGGGTGACCTTGGGCCAGTCTCTCTCTCTCAGCCCTAGAAAGGAGGCAATGGCAAACCATTTCTGAAAACTTTGCCAAGAAAACTGTAGGGACTTGTCCAGGCAGTCTCCGAGAATCAGACACGATTGAACGGATTAAAAAAAAAATGCCAATCAAGAGGCCGCAAATTAATTAAGCTGTTTGGCACATTCTCTGTCCTTAGAAGGCATTATTTCCATGAGTCTCCCTCTCTTTCCCTTTACCTATTCCTTGCCCCAAAGCAGGTAGAAAGCAGGACGAAGACTGAACTGTGTTGGAGGCAAACTTCAGCTGTCTTTAAAAAGTAGCTGGAACATCTGCAGAGAGGTCAGAAAAGGCAAGATGGTGCCCACAACCCCATAATCATGGACACCATCTTTTTTTTTTTTTTTAAACCCTCCAAGGGGACTTCCCTGCATTGGGGTACATGAATTCACCTAACAAAATTTTGCACATTTCTGCTGTGAATAATATTTGTGTGGTCCTTAGATCACTGAGAGACCAGAAAGGGAAGTCCCAAGTGAAAAAGTTTTACAGCAGTCGGTCTCTCTGTTTTTCCATATATTTCTTAGAAATGGCATCAAAGAAGAAAAAAAAAACTTAGAAATGAGAGCCCAAGATCAGCTAGTTTGTGTTTTAAAGATGGATTTCCAGGGTCCCTCATCAGAGCAGACTTGCTGCCCCCACAAAGCAGTTTTCAAGTTCCAGAATATTTTTGGAGGTAGGTTACAATGTTTGCAAATTTCAGCCTTCAGAAATAAGGGTTACCTCCAAATAAATACACATGGGATTGCATTTCATTTAACTCTTGTGGTAAAAACCAGAAACATTTGTTAACTTACGGGTAAGATCAGTTTATAAATGCTGGATCCTCTAGTAAAAATTTTTGTACTGGGCTTTTATCAAGAACTGGCTTGGTTCTTGCGTTTTTCAAAACTTATATTACCTTCTTCCTAAATACACAGCTCCTGGTTTTTCCTCTCATTAGCATCAGACCTAATCAGCTTTAATGCACCAAGAAGATTAGAGGCAGCTATTTTCCACTCCTGCCCCAAATTTAATATCCCAGAATTCTTGCCTGCCTCTAGTTAAAAGGAGGGTCCAGTTGTTGGTCTACTTTTAAATTGGACTGTTCAAGAAAAGTTGGCACACGAAGGCCTGGCAGAGATTTAGTTTCCTGCCGAATAATGAGGTCTAAAGCTTCTTTAAGCAAATGTTCCCACCAAAGACAAAAGAGCTTGTTCTACACCGATGGGACGCTTGGAGTGGGGGGGATACGCAGAAAGAAGACCAGCTTTGTATCCCGACTGTCGCTTATCTCCTCTGCCTGTATTCTCTGCCCATTGGCAGAATTCCTCTGGTCTGCTTCATGTCTCAGAAGCTGAATCTCTCCTATCTGGTATCTGGAAGGGTGAAAGAAACAGGGAAGTATTTGTGCAGCTGAGCCAAAGTGCCAGCGAAAAATCCAAATTCTTAAAAGCAAGGAATACTAAGGGAGAAAAGGTAGTACTTAGGGGCTTTATCCAGTATATCTTTGGTGTTATGCTGCTGGAAATTACCAGCATATTTTCAGTTGAGAGTAATAACCATTATACAGAGTGACTAAGTGGAAATTTGGGTTGTAGCGCCTGTCTTGGGTGTGTTTTGCAGAAAGGTGGCGTGTGAACATAGGATAAGGGTTGAGAGTTTTTTCAAGTGCTGGGCATCAAAAATGACACATGCTAGAGGTGGCCCAAATGCTGAAAGATTTCAGCAATTTTGCTTCTAGGATCTTGCAAGATCTCCGTGTTCTCGTTCCAAATCTCATGAGAACTCAAGTGAAAATCCTGAAATCTTGCAAGGTTTAACAATCTCATCAAATCTCCATTTACATTTTTAAAAGTGTATTTAATTTGTATTCAGTTTTGAGATTCCGTGGATGTCATGCCACTCCCTGATGTAGGACTTGAAATTAGATGAACCCAATGAACAATTGCATCTCTCCCACGTTAGGGCCATCGGAAATTCACAATTTCGAAGTTGGAGTTCTTTGATGTTGTCCATGTAGGCTGCTACTGTTGGGGATTTGAAGGTCTCCGTATTGATCACTCATGGCTGAAGACGTTCCCATAGCAGGACATTTCCAAGTTCATCCAGATGTTGTTAGGCTGGAAGTTATTCCAGAAGAGAAGCGAGGGTTGGGTGAAAAAGCTCCAGTGTGCTTCGGATGGATTGGGAAATATGTTTAATCTGCTATTCCCACCATCATTCATAGAGAACAGTCTGTCTGCACATTAATTTAAAGAAGCTTCAGAGTGCCTTGTAAACTGGGCGAGGTGGTGCAGAAACAAAATCCCTGCCTGCGAGAGATTCAGCAGTCAGCTCTTTCTAAATGACGGTGATAGAAATGAGCCACGGCTGCTTTATCAATGATTGCATTAAATTGCTTAATGAAACTGCCATTAATCACAAGATCAGCAGCTTGTCTGCAATCGCAGACCGTGCTGGATTTCTGAGAGTGGCTCCCCCCCACAAAAAAATGCAGGGAGGCGGGTGTAGAGGAGGCTACCTGGTTGAGGTGGGATGGATGGATCTTCCAGCTGTGCGCTTCTCCAGAGGTGTGCAAGTCAAGCTGCTGAGGATGAGCCCGGCTCTTTCCTAGGCTTTCAGCCATGAGGTCGTATCTTGACAATGAAAACTTCCAAGGGCTGTTTGTTTGCTTTTTAATGGTTTAACAACTGCTTATCGGATTAAATAGATAAGAAAGGTATCAATAAGCAAATGAAGGGCTAAACGTGACTCTTGGTGATTCACGGGCAGAACATTTAGTGGTGTGGGTGACAGTGTGAAAGGGGTGTATTGTAGTTCTCTTTGGGGGTGTTTTCTGGACTCCCCAGTCTGACCTCCAACCCGAATATTAGGCTGGGCTAATAGGGCTTTCTTAGCCCTTTTTCAGATCCAGCAAGAACCGGTAAATGCTGCTGCCTGCAGTGATAATGCAGCCTTCCCCAGGTTAGCCTCTCCAGATACTGTGGGTTTAGCTCCATCATCCCCAGCCCCATGCCCAATCGCTGAGGACTCTGGCTATTATAGGCTAGTCTATCTGGAAAGCAACAGCTGCGTTTGGGGAATATCTGCTATTGTTAAATAGATATTCTTGCATATTAGCTGCAGGCCAGGAGTAGAGGACGTGGCGGCCGCCACAGTTTTTGCTTGAAGTCTCATCATCCTCAGCCACCCTGGTCAATGGCAAGGGCTGTGGGATCCCTAGCACACCAAATTGGTTGCCTCTGCTCTAGAACCTACACGAGACCATTTCCTCCACCAGTACATTTTCTTCACCAATTCTGTCGAAGACCAAGGAAGTTGTGTTCTTTCCAATCCATCCATGAACTTTGGGCAGCAGATCTCCCAAAATTAGGATGGGAGACCACCAGGAAATCAAAAAAGTCTGAGATGTAATGATAAACCACTTCCATACTATTAATAAGAACATAACGTGGATCACCTGTATAATGACCAGGAAGAGCTGAATTCTACTAAAAGACTTCCCTTTGACTGTTGTTTCAGAATGCTACCCAACCATAGATGCCCCGAACTGAAAACAGATTCCTCTGCATAAGGAGCAAATCTCCACCCTTTCCTCTCCCCAATAAGTCAGTCCTTGGTCACAAAAGGAGTGTTGTATTATTGTTGGTTGCACAGACAGCCAGATGTTTAGACTGGATTTGGCATTTTTATCCACCTACTGAGTCCATCCCAAGGACCTGGAATAGGCAGATGTTGTCTGATGGTGTTAAAGTTATCCTTGTACAATGTGAGCTGTTCCAAGTAAAGCTGTCTTTTGCAATGGACTGAGGGTGATTCTGTCTATGCCGACGGTCTTCAATGGTGCTCCAGATGTTTTGGGATTGCACCCGAGGCGCCTATGGCTATCTTTGCTTTCTTTTGCCATAGTCTTTCTGCTTCTATTTGCAGGTCTTTGTATCTTGTGATTTTCTCCAGGTCTTTCTCTTCTCTTCTGCTGTCTCCAGGTGTTGCAATGTCTGCTATCCAGACTTTTTTGTCTTTCTTATCAACCGTTGTTAAGTGTGGCAGGTGCTTGTCTGTCTGAATTCTGAAGTCCCAGAGCACTTCAGCTTCTTCATTTTCTATGACTTTGTCTGTTTTGTGGTCCCATCAGTACTTGCTTGCAGGCAAATGGTTATTATTATTATTATTATTTTGTAAATCATACATCATACATTCTTTTAATATTTTGTATTTGTACAGTATTAACTAAAGATTATTTACACTCTAATGTTTAAATAACTTAGACCATTAAAGAGAGAAAAAAGAGAACATATATCAGTATTAACTGTGATTTAAAATATCAGTGTTAATAGGCATGAGATTATTTAGCTTTTTCATACAGAGCTGCATATAACATTAAAAGTCCACTGCAGATTACATCAAAATATTTGTTCTACAATAGGGGTTTCTCTCTTAAGCTGATTTTGTAGTCTTAAGGTCTCCACTGTATTTCTACTTATTATTATTTGTGCATGTTAAAAAAAAGAGGAAGAAAGCAAATTTGACCTCGATGACTAAAAAGAAAAAGAAAACAAGAAAGGACGGGGAAAAAAGGCTGTTCGGTTTCTAACTTTCCCCTTTTTGTGCTTCTGCTAATTTACAATATTTATAAACTTTTAAGGCTGCCAATGCTCCTCTTAACTATCACCTGGTCTTTGGTCCAAAGTCAGATTTCTGGCCGTTGTCCCTTAGATACACCAAATGGCTGAGCCCCTTGGTTGAAAAGCAGCCTCTGACTACAGACAGGTCAGGCATTTGTCACCAAGGCTCTCTCCGCGTGATGGAGAACGATGCTGAGACAGTTCCTAAAAAGAAGGAAGGGAATGGTGAAAAGGTAGGCAGGGACTCCAGCCTCTTCCTGTAACAGCCAGAAAAAGCATCCCGTTGACTTCTGCCATTCCAGTTGGGGGTGGGCAGGATGCCAACGGCCCGCTTCTTTCAGCTTGGAATCCGCAGAATTGGAAATGCTTCTCCGGCTGCACTGCCAGCCTGCCTGGAGAACCTGAGTCACACCGGGCTGCTTCTTCCCCACCCTTGGGAAGCCTGCAAGCGTTCCCCCTCCCATGCACACGGACTCAGGAATAGGAGCCGGAGGGGGCTTTTCTTTAGATCAGAGAGAAGTCAGGAAAACTCAGACTGGGACGGTCTGGGGAAAGGCGCTCTCAGGAACTGAAGCCAAGCTCCGTGGGTCCAGCCCATTGGTTTGGGGCATCGGGGAGTTTGATCCTGGGGTTGCTGTTGCAAAGGTCTTGGCTCGGGCCGGGTTAGACCCGTGTCTTTCGCAACATTGAAGGATGAGCCTGAGGTTACCTATTAACACAAACGTTGTGTGTGTGTCTGATTTGCTGCCCTTCTGAGAAACAATCCTGCACCCGAGTGGCGCCGAGGCTTTTCTTCTGCCAGTCCCCGCCGGGACAAGATGCTGGGGACGCTGCTGCCCCCTCTGTTGCTCTCTAATGGCCGTTCCAGCATTTTTCCACAACCCACAGCAGCCCTGCCTTGCCCTGCTTCTGATCTTGACGGGCTCCTTTCCTTTTCTTCCACTGCCAGCACTCTGGCAAAATGTTCTCCTGATTCACCAGTGGCGCCGGAGTCCTTGTGCCAGTCCGTGGGAGACGGTGCCGTAGCCCTGAACATGTTTTGCTTGGATGTTTGCAAAGCTCCCCGTTTGATTGCCAACTTCTGCTACATCATTTCGGTTCTTCAGGCCGAGCCACAGTAGGAAGTGTTCCTTTTTTGGAATTGTAGCAACCTGCTGAAATGCAGTTTTGCAAAACCCTTCGGGAAACCTTGGGCTTTTGAAACCTTTTCTGCTGCTGGAAGTGGAAAAAACTTGACCGGATCTGGTGTTCCTGTCCCTTCCCACAGCCAGGCACAGAGATAACGGAGGGAGGGATTTTATGAAAATATTCTTTGCATCAAACGGAGAAATAGAAATGGAAGAGATAAAGCCTAAAGGGTGCACTGCAGAGGTGTCCACAGGGGTGGGTCAAAAAAATCACAATGGCAACCACGACCATGCCACCCCTTTTCTGCAGGCAATGGCTTCTATCCTGTGGTTGTGCTGCCATTTGGACTTTTTGACACCCACGCCCCTGCAGCCACCCCGGTGCAATGCCAACCTCTGTCTGCACCGGTCACAAACGTAAGCCTCGCTCAGGTCTGTGAGAACAATGTTTTAGTTACACAATCCACTGAATTTCACCGATTTTCCCCTCTCATAAATGCGCAACAGATCACTGTCAGCTGCAGAGATAGGCAAGGCCCTCCGAAGCCACAGGAGACCTGGCACCTTTGGAGGGCAGTTTTGGGGAGGAGCATTTGAAGGGTGAGGATAGGAACTTCTCATCTTCCCGACACCTTGTCCACCCATCGCACCTTGACTGCCCGTGATCACAGCCAGGCTGCAGGCACCAGGTTGATCTTTATTCAGCCTTGCTCTCTTGCACTCTGGGAAGGGGTATTTCCACTTCAGTGGTGTCACATCTTTGCACGCGTCCTTTGCTGTGCGCTGATCAAGCTTCTGGCTGGTTTTCTCCCAGTCATTGTTATGGCCTCCGGTTTTTCCTAGGGTTTGAGGGGGGGTTGGTGTTGGGGGTGCCTTCGAGTCAGTCTTCACTCCTGGTGACTGCCTGGACTAGTCCCTGCAGTTTTCTTGGCAAGGTTTTTGGAAGGGTTTTGCCCTCGCCTCCTTCTTCCTAGGTTTGAGAGAGTGGGACTGGCCCAAGATCACCCAGATGGCTTCGTGCCCAAGGCGGGACTAGAACTCACGATCTCCTGGTTTCTAGCCTGGTGCTTTAACCATCTCTGCCTCCCATTTCCATTGTCAGCCCCAGTGTTTCTCAACCTTAGCAACTCTAAGATGTATGGACTTCAACTCCCAGAATTCCCCAGCCAGTATCGATATGGAATCATGGGAATGATAGTCCACCCAGGGCCCACTCTCGTGAGTTCCTAATTCTTATCCTAATCCTATTCCAACCTGGTCCATGCAAGAAGATGGGATTTGTAGTCCAGCAGTCTCTTGGAGGAGGGTGTCTTGCACGAGCACCGGACGAGGTCCTGGCCGCTGAAGTAATCCCCCTTCCTTTGGCCAGCGGGTCCTGGCAGCAGCTAGAGAAGCAAGGGCTGGGGAAGCCCATCTCCAGTGCAGGGGCAGAATTGTCTCCTGCAAATACCGGGCGGGAGGAAGTCTGGCCCGCCAAAGGCATGTGGGGGGACTCAGGGTCCTGCCGTGGCAGGTGAGTCTCGGAGCCAAAAATGTCAACACCTCCTTAATTTGTTGGTTGGTTTGTACATTTATATGGCCACCCCTCTTGATACTCTGACTCAATCAAGAAATTAAAGCCAGGAACAGCACCACAGTTACCACCCCAGTGCAGGGCATGGGGTAGGGCACTGCCACAGAAACCAACGGGAATTGCTCCTTTGGCACGGGGGGAGAGACGCACGCTGAAGCAGGAGCAAAATTCATGATCTCGTTCTTAAACCGTTGGGTCTCCCGACCCCTTGATTTCTCCCTCGTTCCTTACCTGCACACCTGCAGATGCTCAACTGTTTCTGCAGGTGTGCACATACCATGCTCAAACTATCCCTGAATTCACCCAGTTTCTGGGCTCATACAAGTACGCTGAATCAAAAGGGTTTGCAGAACAGGTTAAGGAACCCCCCCCCCCAAAAAAGAACCACAAACATCTTGTGTGAATACAGCTACTAGATCTAGAACTGGCCTGGTTACAGGGGTTTGATGAACCAAACTGCCCTCCTTCTGCCCCCCGCCCCACCCTGCTTTGTTTATCAGGCAGGGTTGCTGCGACGTCTCCCTTTTGACTCCAGTGGTGGCCAAAGTGGGATCAGAAGAAGACCCTTCCTCTTTTTATTTTTGAAACGATGTGCTTCTGAGCTGCAGAGCCCAGATGTGTGCCCATGTGAGGAAACGGTCAGTGTCCCCTGCTTGTTCTCCCCAAGAATGGCTCCTGGGTTGGGAAGGGTTGGACGCTCTGGGGTCTGGCCCAGCCTTCCTTCTCTTTGGCACCGTCAGATTCGTCAGCGTCCGTTCCCATGTTCCCCAGCCACCCTGCTCATCCACCAGGGCGAAAAGTGTGTGGGCGCAGGGGCTATGCATGAAGGGCTGCTGAACCAGTCCCATGTTGGCCCTCCTGATGCATTCCCCCCCCCCCCAGCAGTTCGGCTGAAAGTTGCTTTGCCCCCCTTATTTGGGGTTGGGTTTAAGGGTCCTGACTTCCCTTTCCAAAACGTAGGGAAGAACCTGATGGCTGCAGGCCCTCTTCCTCCCCAAAGAGGCTGAGAAACAAAATACTCCAAGAAGCTGCTCTGGTGGGTGAATGCAGGTGGGGGTATTTGCAAAGAGGGGGAGTCAAAAAAGTCAAGGGCGGGGCTTCAATGGCATGGTTGCGGCCCCCGTTTTAACTTTTTTGACCACCTTGACTTTCTTGACCCCCCCCCCCGCAGACACCCCTGAGCGCATGTTTTAAATGGGTTTGTGCCTCTCTATTTATGCAACTCCTGGGGGCGGTTATTGTGCAGCTGCACCACCCGCCTCTTTGGCAGAGCGGAGGCCGTCGCTGGCAGCTAATTGCGATGACTCCGGTTCTGCTTCTCCTCCGGGAAGAATATTCGGGGCTTTGTTTCTCTCTCCGGCCATTTTCCATGAGCCTCTTTCCCTTCCTTCTCCTCCATTCCCCCATGGCTCATTCCCTGGGAGGAGATTCTCCAACCTTTCCAGCCGTGGGGTCCACCTCCATAGGTGGGGAGGCAACGTGGCAACACTTGCAAGAATACAAAAAAGAAGTTGAACATCTTTTTCTTTCTTCTTCTTTTTTGGTTTTCCTTACTTCTTTTTGTCAGCACGGGACCTTAATTTTTCTTTAATGCTGAGATGAAGGGGAGAAGGGATAACCTCTGTAAACGCAGACCGAGTCAACTTTGCCCTCAGCCGCTGTTTGCTTAACCAGAATCTAATTGGCAAGGTAAATATGGTTTACAGTTTCACATGTGAAAACAGGAAACTTGTCCCAAGGGATCTGAGTGAATATCAGATAATGGGGGCAACAAATCATATAAATGGGGGGCTCCAAATCACTATTCAGAAATATCAGATGCTGGGCTAAAGCATGATGATGGTGAAGATGAAGATGATGAAGATGATGATGATGATGATACCACCACCACAAAGTAAGAATGGAAAAGAGACATGGCAAGGCAAAGTATTACATGGCCAGTACACACACACACGCACACACAGCAGCAAAGCTGGCAACAAGACCTGGCAATGGCTAAGAGCAGGAAAGTTGAAGAAAGAGACCGACAGGCTAATTCTGGCTGCACGAGACCAAGCCTTAAGAACAAACGCACACAAAGCCAGAATCAAGAAGACAGCAACAGACAGCAAATGCTGCTTCTGCAAAGAACCTGAAGAAACAGGGGAGCACCTAGTCAGCTGCTGCAAGATCGCACAGACCGACTACAAACAACGGCATGACAAAGTAGCCACAATGGTGCATTGGAAGATCTGCAAGAAATACCATTTGCCTGCAAGCAAGAACTGGTGGGACAACAAAACTGACAAAGTAATAGAAAATGAAGAAGCTCAAATGCTCTGGGACTTCAGAATTCGAACAGACAAGCACCTGCCACACAACACCCCAGACTTAACAACGGTTGATAAGAAAGACAAGTCTGGATAGTGGACGTTGCAATACCTGAAGATGGCAGAAGAGAAGGGAAAGAGCTGGAGAAAATCACAAGATAACAAAGACCTGCAAATAGAAATAGAACGACTGTCGCAAAAGAAAGCAAAGATTGTACAAATAGTAATAGGTGCCTTGGGTGCAATCCCAAAACATCTGGAGCACCCCTTGAAGACCATCGGCATTGACAAAATTGCCACCAATCAATTGCAAAAGGCGGCTTTACTTGGAACGGATTATATCCTTCGACAATACCTTTAACACCATCAAACAACAGCATCTGCCTCTCCCAGGTCCTTGGGAAGGACTCGATACGTGGATAAAAAGGCCAAGCCCAGTCTAAACATCTGGCTGACTGTGCGACCAACCATCACCATCACCATCATCATCATCATCATCCAGAAAGTGGCACAATTTTGGCAGCTCTGGATCCAGCGGGTGCAGCCACAGTTATTTTCTTGTAAGTGGACGAATGGCTGGTTCTCATTTTATGATCCAGACTTTGAAACAGCGGTTCTCAAAGTGTGATCTGGGGACCTCTGGGTGTCCCCGAGAACCTTTCAGGGGGTCTGCGAAGCCAAATACATATTTTAACGTTTCTCAGTTTTAATTTCTAATACAGTAAATATTGATAGATATAACCCCCATCAACCAAAGTTTTTGGGGGCCTCAATCAAGTTCAAGAATATAAGGGGGTCTTGAGACAAAACGTTTAAGAACCACTGCTTTAAAAGCATATTATCCTTTTCTACACAAGAAACAAATTCTCGTGTTATTCTTGCAGACACAGGCAAAGCTCTGGATGTTCCCAATAGTAGGTGATTTGTTTTAAAACCAGATTTGACCATCGTTTTTCTAAATACAAAAATGTGTTTGGAATAAGGTTTTTAGTTCCAGACAGATTTGGCAAGTGTTCTCGGCTCTCCCCCTCCCCGCCCACCTTCAGGTTTAAAATGCAAAATTGCACGTGCTCAGAATACTGTCATCTTTATGTAATCAAAATCAGCCTTGGCAAGCATTGTCCTCTCTTGGAGCCTTATGTGAGTTAAAATGTAAAACGGTGCTTACTTGGAATATTCTTTTTTATTTTCTACCACGTTTGGGAACCGTTTCCCTCTCCTTAATTTCAAGCAAGCTTGAAAGGCAAAACTGTGCATGTTCAGAGTATGAATCACGTTTGGCCAATATGTCTTGGCCCAAGAAGGTAAAAGAGTTGAATAGCCTGGAATGGACCCGTCGTAGAAATGCAGAATATTAATGATAATTTCTTAATGAAGTGATACGAGCACCGCCCTCTCCCACAAGTCAACAGGAGTCTAGAGTGCGAAGGGGCCACTGAGACCATCCAGTCCAGCCCCCAGCTCGATGCAGGCATCGAAATCCAAGTATCCCTCAAGACAAGGTGTCTAGCCTCTGCTTGAATGCATCTGATGAAGGAAGCCCCCATCTCTGGGGGGTGCTTCCTTCTGCCGTCAAACTACGCTTCTGACTTGCACCGTCGCATCATTGAAAAGAGAGGCTGTTGCCAAATGCTAAAGAGTTTAGAGGTTTTGCAGTTGTCCTTCCCAAAGTCGCTGCTCTGCCCTCGCATCATATCCTCCTCCTTTTGTAGGAAATCTGTCCCCCCTGGAAGAAGTTACTTCTTGGGTGTCTTTGCGTCCTTCTCCACCTGCTTCCTCTCCATCAGAGAAGAGTGACTTTTGAAAAAGCAATTGCAGCTCCTCTGAGAAGAGCTGCAACTCTTCTTGTTTTCAGAATCCCAGTTTTCAGATGGGCAGAAGCACATAATGCCATTTGTTGGTGCCTGAGAGCTATCTTTTATTTACCTTTTAAAGGTATACACCACTTTTCTGTTTATATAAATACCCAGAAGAATCCAACACATCTGTTTGACAAGTGAACTGTGGTCCTACAGATGTTGCACAGATGTTCTCGTGCTGATTGAGAAACGTTCAGGGATATCTGGAGGGCCACAGAACTCTTTACTCCTGATTAAACTGCTTGTTCTTTATTCCTTAGGATGGGCCAAAGAGAGCCCTCTCCTCCTTGAGAGACCCTTGGAGTCCCCTCTGACCTTGATTGCTAAGAATTGACTGCACCATCGCTTGCCTTTTAGGTAGAAAGCACAGAAAAATAGCATCGTGATGACATGAAAGGTCAAGCTGATGGTAATAAATCAATTTGATTATTAGCAAGGGTTAGAAAACTGACTTTTTGGTCATCCCAAGGATCAAGAACAGGCATTGTAAACAAGCATTAGTCATAATTGGATTGGCAAATAGTGTCAGTCCAACCGTGGGAGTCGTTAGTGCAACTGTTTGCACAAGTCACTCAGCGTTCAGTTCAAAGCAAATAGCTTACATTTTTACCCTCTCTCTGGAGCTGAGCATTTGGATAAACTGATCAGCTAGATCCTTCGGAATGGGTGATGTAGGAGAGACCGCGAGGGCAAAAAGAAAATTCAGAGAAATACACCTCTGGGCAGCGGTGGAGGACACAGAAGTAATGCTCTCATGGAACACCGTGGCTGTTACTCCCACAGCTCCAGTCCTCCGTAAGAGGTGCTAAGCAACCAAGCACAGTGACCCACTTTCTTCAAGAGTTATCTCCTGGGGGTTGCCAAGTGCTGTCATCCTCCAGGGAGCAGAATTGCTCCTTGTGGGAAGAGCATGTGGTGGTGTGTGCACAGACCATGTGGAAAGTATTGATGTCCTTATCTAGCTGGTTCTGTCCAGTCTTCTGGACAGAAGGATGTTCTGCTACCCTTCTGATCCTTTAAGGAAGAGAAAATGATGAAGGGAATATACAGAAACCGTGGCTTTGTTTTACAGGTCGTCCTCATTTAGCCACCACATTTGGGACCGGCAACTCGGTTGTTAAGCGAAGTGGTCACTAAGTGAAATCATGACTCTGCTTATGATCTTACTTCAGCTTTCCTTTGCTTTACAGACCTGCAAAGGTCGTAAATGTGAGGATTGGTTGTAAGGTTACTTTTTCATCACCATCATAACTGAACGGTCACAGGTATATGTTTGTATACATGTTCATTATGTTTCCTCCCACCTTTCCTGCAGGAGTTCAAGGCAGAGTTTATAGCAGTCTTCTCTTTTCCCTCTGGCCACAATCACTGTGTGGTAGACTAGGCTAAGAAAGGGGCATCCTAGGGGAAAAGCTATTGACTATGTGCCATCAACTCAGTGTTGACTCTTAGCAACCACAAAGATAGATTTTCTCCATGACGATCTGTCCCTAAACTGGTTTTTCAGGTTTTCCAATAGTACACCCATCAACACTATAACTGAGTCCATCCCCCTTACTGCTGGTCATCCTCTTCTTCTCTTTCTTTCCACCTTTCCCAGCATTAAAGCCTTCCCCAGAGAGCTGGGTCTTCACATAATGTGTCCAAAGTGGGATAATTTGAGCCTGGTCATTTGTGCCTTGAGTGAGAACTCTGGGTTGGTTTTTCGATGATCCATTTGCTTGTTTTCTTGGCTGTCCACACTGTTCTCAGGAGTCTTCTCCAACACCATAGTTCAAAGGCGTCAATACTCTTCCTCTCCTGCTTCTTTAAACCCAATTTTTGCTTCCCTAGAGTGTCATAGGGAATACCACGGCTTGCACGACTCTGATCTTTGTAGGTGAAAACACATCACGGCATCTGAATATCTTTTCCAAGGCCTTCACGGCTGCTCTACCAAGTGCTGGTCTGCGATGTATTTCTTGACTGCTAGTTCCTTTACTGCTGATGGTTGATCCTAAAAGGCAGATTGATCCTAAAATTGATCCTACTTCTATATCTTCATGATCAATTCTAAGGCTGGTTGTTGTACTATTGGGTTTAATCTATCATTACATTAATCAGACACATATTACTCCCCCTACATTTAGTACTTTCTCTCTTTTATCACAACTAAAAATTAAGAGTCAGGGTAAAGTTTGGAGCAGGTCTGGGGGGCAGGTCTTTATTGCAACTCCCCAGGTGGGTGCCTTTCAGACACGTTATGATTGTGATATCCAAAATTCCCGGCTAGTTTGGCATTATCCAGCTGGGAATTCAGGGGAAGGGTAATGTAACATTCACATCCATGTTTCAGATGGGTGCAGTGCTCATCCTATCAACTGTTTAAAAATAATATTGGTGGCAGAGGTAGGCAGATAAAAACCTTTAAAATAGGTGATTGGCTTATTTATCCATTTGAGACCACTGAAGCTTAAGAGAGATGGTGCAGTTTGAGACTAAGAGGAGGCTGTTTTTGCTCTGGGGTGCAGCTCTGTAAGCATGAAAGAGCAGGCATTTGCAAAAGCTGGTCAGCATATCCCGCTGCACAAACCCGGCCCTTGGACATCTTCTCTGGCCACCAGCTCCAGCCCAACCAGGTCATCCCAAGAAACAGAGGTGGGCATGTCCTCTTGAGCTGTGCAGCTTGTGGGGTGACTTAGGGACAGAGACTGAGTCATCACCTTGCCAAAGACTCGGGCTGAAGTTCACCTGCTTCCTGTGATGATGACAATAATTTAACTGTCCTGTGAAAAACACTGGAATAAAGGGCAGCTTAACCATTAAGGGTCATCCTGGCCTATCAAAAAAAAAAAAGAGATGAATTGTGATACCTCAAAAGAGATTTTCATTAACAGTTTTGGATATTCTTGAAAACTGGCTTTCCTCAATCCATTGTTTTGCAGTTTTGGAAGACCGGTTAATGGTGCCCCCTCATGTCATTACGATACATAAATCATTCCTTCTTTTGCCCAGATGTTCTCAGCTCCAGCTGTCAACTGGAGGTACTGTTTTCCACTTGGCTGTGTTTTTCCCTTGTTTGCCACATCCAGGGTGTCTTGAGGGTTTGGTCAAAAAAATCAAGATGGTGGTCACAACAGTATGATGAAAACCTTATGACTTTCTTGACCATTCCCTGAGGACATCCATGATACCATTCATGTTTCCATTCCAAAATTTCAGGGGTGGTGCAAAGAGTGCTAAGCGTCTCTTTCCTCTCTCCAAAATTCACAGTGGAAAGGACGGGAATCTTCACCATGGCAACTAAATCAACAGGTATAAGCAAAACTGAAAGGTTAACAGCATTGCATCATAGTTGAATACTAATGAAGCATTAGTTAGCTGTGGAAAAGAAGAATCTTTGCAGTTGGCAGATGCAGATTGAGAGATCAAGAATTGCAACCAACAGCCAGCTAAACCATCTTCCACAGATTTCCTTTGAAACACAGAAGAGCTTCCAGTTCTGCTGAATCTCTCCAAGGGGCTTCAGAGCCCAGCATTCTGCATCATTCAGTCCAGCCACACAGTCGTGGGTGCAAAAGCATGGGTGGGATTGCTAAATCTTGCAAGGTCTTCCCTGTTATTTTATTTTTGTCTGGATACCTGTTGCATTTTACAAGGTCATGCCTGGTGCCTGAAAAGAGTTACCAACTGTTGATCTCCAGAGTGCAGGCAAGGATAAC